GAAGACCTTAGTCTTAGTGTCGTTGAGTCGGTCTTCATTGTGATCAAGACCGACCCAATCTTTACACCTTGGCTCTTTAGGCTAAAAACCTTCATTGCACTTCTTAAATCATAAAAATGCTTTTCAAACATGTTTAAGTCATTAAAAACACTTGGTGTTCGCCCAAACCAAAAACCAAGCCATCCGGTGTTCGGGTTTCAGAAACTGGCGTTCGGCTCTCGGTTATCGGCTATGGTTTTTGGCGTCCGAACCAACCAAGTGGTTTTCAACTTTTTATGATTGGTTTTTACTCTTTGGCATGTTTAAACGGTTCTCCAACAAAAACACCTTGAAAACCATCTTTCGCTTTTGGTCGTTTGACAAAAATCATTCAAAACGGCATAAAACTTGGCTAGCCGTGGTTTTCACTTAAATGACGTGGTTTTTAAAGTGTCTTACTCGATTTATTAGCCAAATACATCAAATAGGCCGCCCGTCCATGCGGTCCAGACTTTGCCAGCCCCTTCCTGATATTGGGAAAGCTACAACGTTCAAGATGCCCTAAGGTACTGCAAGTACCACCGTAACAGCACCTACAACACGTTGGAGTGCGTTACATTGAAAAAATAGATGGACCAACTAATAGCCAGGGGACCAACACCCCGAGTTGAGCGGCAGGCGCCCAGAAACAGGACATAGAGGAGACTAACCGCTGCCACTGCTGCGATCATGAATGGGGAGGAGGACGCTGACGGAAGAAGGCTTTTAGGAAGAGAATGTGATGATCTTGACGAAGATGAAAGGCATAATTGACGACATTTGGGGTGTCGGTTTATCATGGGAGGAAATTCTGGAGGGAATTCAGTGTCCTCTCGAAAGAAATGGAGGAATATGGTACATCTGGCAAAAATACAAAGACCTTACTACCCAAGAAGAAGAGAAGTGAACAATCATGTTCACCAATGAAGACTATCCGCCGGTGCCCAGTCCACATCAGGATGCGCTGGTGGTAAAAGTGGAGATTAATAACGTGGTGGTTCACCAGACTTTGGTTGACACAGGCAGCTCGATGAACATCATGTATAGAAATACCTTCAAGGAGCTGGGGCTATCTCGAGTGGATCTTAAACTGATTCATACCCCACTTTCCGATTTCACGGGGGACACAATCAAAGCAGAGGGGACAATAACAGTTATGGCTGGGGGTGGGAGATGGCACCCACCAAGTCTGGCTCGACATGGAATTCATGGTAGTGTAACTCAACTATACACACCATCTAATCCTAGGGCGACCGGGCTTGGAGGACTTGGAGTGCATAACCTCCCCCGCCCATTTGTGCATGAAGTTTCCTACCCCCACGGGGGTAGGCGTGGCCATAGGTGACCAGAGACTGTCACAACGGTCGTGTTACGCCAGGGCGACCAAGAGCTATGCACGAATCGAAGAGAACGCTAGTACAAATTGCGCTACCATCCAAAGGGAGGAAGGTCGGCCCAGGGCGGAACCGACAGAAGTAGTTAAAGAATTTGCACTTGACCAAACAAAGCCGAAACAAAGGGTTAAGGTGTGCAAAACCCTACAGTAGGAGTAGAGGGGATGACTGGTGGGTGTCCTTCGATCCTTCAAGGTGCTATTTGCATGGGCCCTAGAAAATATGTCGGGAATCAATCCGCGGACCATCTGTCACCGGTTGGCGATCGATCTTGCACACAGATTAGTGAAGCAGAAGAAGTGCTTCCTCTCTTCGGAGAGGAAAGATTTTGTTACAAAGGAAAGTAGATAACTAACCTTTCTACCATGGTTTAATTGCTTAATCTAATATATATAATTTTCCTTCCTAAATGTAGAGTACATTCAACTTTACATCAACATACAACTTCAGTACATAAAAAAGTGAGAGTTCTCTAATTACCAAGGGACATTTATGGAGAGTGGTAAAATCATTTTATACTTAATTTTATCCTTACATTTAACATACTTTTGAATACGGGGAAGGTTCAAGTGACATTGAACCTTAATGTCATAGGATGACCCGGGGGCGCTTCGGTGCCCCATTCGTAAAATTGACAGTTCCTACCCCCCCTAACCCCCCGGTAAACCCCCCCACCCGGCCCCGGCCCGAACATACCCCCCC